GTGTTAAAGGGGACGCGGCCGCGAGGTGCTGGCGCATCCCCCCAACGCGAGGGCGCTGCCAGCCCTGTATGGTGGTGTGTGGGTCTCCTGGCCGCAACCGCCGCAACCTCAGCGGATCGCCATGATGAGCAGCGGTGAAGCTGGGCGCATGGGTGCGGCGTGATCACGGGCGACTGGACGGCAGTTGCCTTGAGGCGACAGCGTGCGCGCTCTGCAACCCTCCTTTGAGAACACACCGTTTTGTAATCACTGCTGTGTTTTGGCGTCGATGTCGCGCGCAGTAAACACGCCTTAAACACGCCTCACATGCCTCACCTGTGGGTGTGTGGGTGAGTGTGCATGCTTCCAGGCTGAGTGTGTTTGTGGGTTCCTAGGCACACGCGTGTGAGTGCGTGTTTGAGGGGGCGCGTGCGCTTGCACACATGCGCACGTGCATACACCCGCACACACGTAGCACATGTTTGCGTGCACGTGTGGTGCATGTGTGCAGGTGCAACAAGCGACAGCCACGCCACACACATTAGTACAGAGGATGCCTGCCAGACACCTTGTCTGACCTTTCAATCGATGCAATCGGCCAGCACAAGGCAAGCCTGAGCAACGAGCACACAGCTTGCGCCGCTCGTGTTGCGCACCTTGCGCCCACCCTGCAGGTGAAGCACCTCACCAGCAACGGGCACTGCCGCCTGCCCACCATCTAGAGCCATAAAATCGTGCAGAGCTATCTGTCCCCGCAAAACTTCAGCGTCCGCGGCTCTGTTGTTGATGGTTGCGCGCAGATCAGGTTGTTGAGATCGCAACGCCTTGCCATAGATATGTGAAACCACTTGCAATTGACATGTCATGTATATTTGATCAGCCTCGTGGGCCGCCCAACGCAAATTAAAAAGCTACACATTTGAAGGTGCGCCGGCTGATTTTTCCAACGCACCAAATGGAACGCCTGGCCTAGCAATCGAACACTTGCTTCGAATATTTTCTACTGCGCATGGCTGACACAGCGCGGTCGCCCCTCCCTGCTTGCACACCTGCGTATCCAATCCTGGGGGCTTTGGATACAGGATACGCCTCCGGATACGGCCCCTCACGACCAAGATACATGGCTGCTGCACACTCACAGTGACTTGTATAGTGCCTGATGCAATAATTTTGTGTTGGGTAGGATGATACGTGATTGATTTCGAAATGCAGCACGTGGTTGACAACGCACAACACACATGCACGTGTGCTCGAGCCAGCACGCATGCCTTGATTGAGCCGCAGATGAGCCGGCAATACACTCTCTCACAGCCCATGCTCCAAAAAATTTTCCACCAAGTATAGTGTGTGAGGGCACAGGTGGCAAAGCACCAGCAAACGGGTGTGCATGGCACGGCAGGGCGACACATCCGTGCCAGGCACTGCTGCCCGCCGGCTGATCGGGCAGCATGGTCGGCAACGGGCAGGCCAGTAATGAGAAACTAGGTGTCCCGCATGCACCCAAGCCTTGCAGGAGCAAAAAAAGCGCGTAGGCCATGCGAAACACACTGAAATTGGCATTCGCGGGTATGTCACGGAATCACCACGGGGCAGCCACGGGTGCCACGGGAGCCGTGACAAGCCGTGTCAAATCCGTGAATGGTCACGGTTGTCACGGATGGCCGTGACAACCGTGACTTCATCCGTGACCCACGTGATTGATCCGTGTCACCCGTGACCAAGCCCCGTGACCCAAGTGGTCCAGCCGTGACTGTCACGGGCAACCGTGGCTGAGCCGTGGCTAATCCGTGGATCTCGTTCTGCGAGTGCAAGTGATGCCAACGGCGAAACAGCCTGCCTGGGCGACGCGCAGAGCGCCCAAGCAAGCGTTCGCAGCAGTCGTTCAAGCGTGGGCGCGGCCAGTGGCGCCAGCGCCAGCAGCCGCGGCAGCGGGAAAACATCCGGCAGTTTCGCGGTAGATGACGTTCTGCGGTGCCTGGTGGAGTACTTGGAGGATCAAGCAGGCGTGTGGGAAGGGCCCATTGCCGCGGCAGGCTTTGAGGCTGGGCCCTGCCGGCCGCCCGAGCCTGTGCTGCGGTTGCTAGAGCCTGCGGCTAGTGCCTGCCAGGGCTGGGTGGATGACATCATAGACGGTCTGCTGAGCGATTTGTAAAAGAGTGCTGGCTGCCTGCTGCAATTTTTGTTGTTCCGGTGGATGGTACAACTGATGCGCAGGTCAGTACGCCACTCGTGCCCTTTCTTGCTGCAGATGTATGCGTGCTCAAATCGGGATGGACCAGCACACTGTGTGCAAAGGCTTGGCTCTGCTGGTCAACGCAGTCTCAAAGTGTGATTGAGGGGCGTGTTGTGGTTCCAGCGCATGGCATGCAGGACTGTGAACACTGTGCGTCCCAGCCTGCAGGCATCGATCCCGCTGGTTGCGTACATCTGACTCGGCTGGAAAGCCAACCAGAGGTGGAACGGCAGCTGCCTCGGGCCCCAGCACGGCTGCGCATGCGTGCGGGCGAGCGCGCCCGAGCGGCACACATCCCAGCACCAAAAACAGTTTACATGGTGCGACAGGTGGAGGGGGCGGACATGGCGGCCAACGCAAATGGGACGTAGCAGCTGGCATCTGCCAAACAAAGCTGCCAGGCTCCTCCAAATTGTGCCTGATAGGGTGGAAGCAACGTCACACACCCTTTGTGCAATTTTCCGCCCATTTGCTTGGGTGAATACAGCAGCTGGTGCAGGGCGGCTCTATTGCGGGAATCCTGGCCGCCGCACGGTGTTGATTGGCTTCCAGATGTAACTCATAACCGTACATGCAGCTGGTGGCGTCATGTGAAGACGTTTCTGACAAGCGGCGCAGTGTTGTGTTATACACCAGCCACGCAGACACCTTGCGGACACTGTGCATCACGATTGCTTTGCTGGGCTGTGAAGGCAGTGTTGGCTGGGCTTGATTTTACCATCATCATGTGTGGCTTCTCTTGGCTCCGACACCACTTGGCGGTGCAATGACACAACAGCCGCTCGTTGGTCAGGCAGGATCCAGCTGCGTTGTCGTATATCTGGAGCACGCAGTTTGAACCAACACAATGCAGAACATTCAAGCCAGCAATTCTGTCAGGCAGGCCACGAGGCTGGCCGGATCCCTGAGAGGTCAGAAAATAATGATGGGTTGATACGTTTCGCTGTCAAGTTCTACCGCTGTGCAACAGCACCAGGCTAGGACCATGACTCCGCCGGCCTGGGCGCCTCCAGGCATCAACCATCATTTTCAATCCCCTCTTTAGGTAACAGATGCTGCGCAATTTGTGTCAGGTACAGCTGCCAAGGATTGGCGACAGCGGGCCTTGCTGGCAAGCAGCTTAGACGTGGGGGTAATCACTCTCGCGGTCTTTGCACGCCCTGAGTTGCGCTGCAGGGCTTTGGGCTGGTACCGCCACAGGACACCTTTGGCCAAATGCATAACAAACGGGGCATTCCCTTTATTTGATTGGCAACGAGTGCGAGGCTGGTTGTCACGATTCGCACCTTCCCTCGTTCCGGTCGGTCACTGATTGGCATACACTACTCGTACTGTACGACTCGTGTGGCCGTGTGGCCGGGTGGTGGTGGGTATTCAAATGCACACACAGAGCACGATTCTCACAGTATCTAGATACACTACACTGCTTTACTACACTGCTTGCTTGATCAATCAGTCTACGGTCGTCAAGCTCCCCTCCGAGGCCTTTGCACAGCAGGTGCGCGCTGGGGCCTCACCGGTGCCTCTGTAGAAAATCATCCCAGCGTTGAGTGCTGTGCTTTGCAGCTTTGCTGCCTGTGGTTTGTGCTCGCCACCAAGGAGGACCACAGAAGGATCGAGTCATGCTGCTGACTTCTGACCCCATTCCCCTCGTCCTCATTTCTCTCTCCCAACCCCGGAGGGCACCCAGAATTGTGATAATCTGCAATGGCTCGTGCGCTTGTCATGGCGGTGGCTGCCGTGGCCGTGTTTGTCCTGGTCACTCCCGCCCTCGCGGCCCGTGACCTCAAGGCCGTCTCGCCTGCCGTGGGCGCCGTGACTGGCGCGGTCAGCGGCCTGCTCGCGGGCGGCATCCTCCCGAGCGGCAACCTGCCTTTCCTGGGCGGCGCGACTGGCGCCGTCACCAACCTGCCTGTCCTGGGCAGCGCGACTGGCGCCGTCAGCGGCCTGCTCGCCATTCCCCGCGAACTCTCCGTGCCCACCATTCCCAACCTGATCGCGCCCTCCATACTGCCCTTCCTGCCCACCATTCCCGACCTTGATGGCCCGAAAAGCCTGCCCACCCTGTCGCTGCCAACTGGCCCTGTTGTTGGCGCTGTGCAGAGCATCCCCATTGCGGGCGGGCTTATCGGGTAGTTGTACATAGTGGGAATATCCATGCCCTTGAAACACTGCGTGCCTGCTGCTGGCTGCACACTGAACCTGCCCAGCGCCCTGTTGTTTGCTGACCGTATGGTCACATGGCAGGAATTGATGCGTGCTGTCCGTGCGCTGCGGACCAAGGTCCTGGCCACAGGCAAACTCATCCTTAGTATGGCCACCTGCAGGAAGGTGCATGCATGCTGCACGATGCATTGGTGGATGCGACGCACACATACAAACACAAGTAAACAGCTTCGAAGCCTGGTTGTGGATCGATCAGGCTCTTGCAATTGGCATTGCGCGACCAGGAGCCCAAACTTGGTGTCCATTTCGCAGCCTTGCAA